AGTATTACTAAAGTTACAAAATTGATAATTGTTTGACTCCCAATAATTTAACTTATGATCCACGTTGAAACTAAAATGTGGCTAGGGGTGTGAAAATAGGTTGACGTGTTGAGTTGGACACGAACCCTCCTAATACGTGATACAATTAGAATCAATACAAATACAATCAGCTTAATAATCATGTCAAATATTTAAACATAAGTACTACATAAAAAATTAAACGAGTAACATGAATACGACACATGTAACATGTTTAATTAAATAGCTCATATATGAGTAAAAAAAAGTCAATTAAATTTAATTAAATGGATCATATACGGGTCAAAAGACGACAATTATAATACCTATAACCCACATAACCCTCTGTGTGTGTGTGTGTGTGTGTGTGTAAATTACATTTTTATCTTAAAATAAATAGTTAGACAGATTAAATGAGTCAATTTATAGAATGATCCGCTTAAAACTTGTGTCATATGTGGATCACTCGTTTATGACACGAACTTATTTAAACTCAACTTTAATCCATTTAATTTTATTATTAAACAAATTGTATTTCCGTGTCACACCCATGTCACACGCTGACGGGAGCATTTCACGTTTCAGAAATGGAAAATTTTGTAGGCTTGAAATATCAACATTCATTAATATTTATGATCGGAGAAAATATGAGCCATCAACAAAGCCTGCCATAGACTTGTGCAAGTCCTTTTGGTGGGACTCTAATGGCTAACTTACCAAAGAGTTTAGGATTGGGGGCAAACAAAGACTTAAACAAGTCATTCTCACCTGCAGGGTCTAAATACTTTTGAAAGTCTTTGAGGGTCTATGCAAATTGCACGTAATTTACAAATCTTTCGCAAAATTTTTGAAGACAAAAGTGAAAAATTGATGTTAACTTCACATCTTTGCTGGTTTTGCAATAGATTACAAACAAAAAGATATCAAATGTTGATTTCACTTCAATTAAAGCATACTTGAAGAAGAAAAAACTGATCCTCAAACTGTAACAAATAAAAGCGATGGATATAGTCGGTGGTGGAGCCAGGATTGAAGACAAAGGGGATGAAAATTTTTTTTTTTTCAAAATTTAGGAGGCGTTAAATTAAAAAGTATTATATTTTAAGGAATGAAATTGAAAATTTTTAAAAATTTAGAGATGAATTATTAAAACAAAATTACTGAGGGGGCCACTCCTGACATCCCTTCTCTCTGTCAGAGAATATAGTTATACTTTACTCCAAATCAATTGATCTAAACCCGAGCAACTAGCGAAAATGAAGATTAAACACAAAAGATTGTTAGATATCTTTTCTTTTGGTTTCAAAGACTTTCTTCTTTCTTTCTTCTCTTTGCTTCAATTAAGGGTTGTTCTTCTTCCTCAACAAGTACTTTCATGGAACTCGGCCTTTTGCTAAAGCAAGTGAAATCCAAAACAAATGAGGGCAACTGAATTGCAATTGTTCTTCCTTCTGATTTGCTAAATTCATTTTGGGTCATGCTTGCTAAATTCATTTTGGGTCATGCCCGCCCTACAAAGCCTCATATTTTTTTATTTGGTTTCACCAATTCCTCTGCATTTGATCATCTCTTAAACTGCAAATAAAAGCATGCTTAATTTAAACAATGTGATTTTTTGTGATTGTAATGTCATCTCGAATAACTTTCTCAGTGTTCTATCTCGTGTGTTAGCTGAAGTGTGTTAGATGATCAACGAACATTGTTACACATTTGCTTGCAACTCATGTCTATATCTGATCTACGAGAGTGGAGTCATGTCCCACTCGATTTTTTTTTTCCAATGTTGTAAGAGTTAATTAAGTCCAATTTAAATTTCCATTTTATCTTTCAAAAAAAAAATTAAACAATGTGAAATATTATTATATTAAATCGGCCGCTAATTTATTAACTTCAAAAACTTTGGAAGAATTTAATTTTATAATTAAAAGACATGGCCAATATATACGAGCTCAAAAATAAGTGAGTTTAATTATAAGTCATTTAATTTCTATTATTATTTTTCAATCTGAGATTCACTTCTTAACCATTGATTTGGTTGAGATTCACTTCTTAACCATTGATTTGGTTTGTTTACCCTTTTTTCAATTTTCAGTATGATCAAAAATAACTTTATACAAATATTACTTTGTAATATTTAAAATGTAAATTGAAGTAAAATTCAAATATTTTACAAATTCTTATAATATGTGAAAAGAAAACACAGTAGATAAATAACTGTTGGCCTTTCACTAAACTGGTTTCTGTCTCCCATCCCTATGAATTGTGAATTTCTTCTCTAAGGGTCCATGAGATTTGTTGGGATTTCTTCTCTCATACTAAAATTATAAAGGGACAGAGTTAAGTGCCCTAATTTATTTCTCAAGAACCAAACAGATTTGTCGGCATGGGCTTAATTTTGACCTTTGTCGATCAATCAGTGACCAGAAATCACCATAACCTTTCAAGATTTTTAAATCACCATAACCTTTCAAGATTTTTATATTCAACAACAAAGAATAGTACAAATTTTGGAAAATGATACTGCATTTTCTATAATTTTCCTGTCACTTGAAGGAATCGAAAATACTTTTTTATCTTCATATTGTTTGTAAATTGCATGTTGATGGGGCCAAAACGATAGCTTTATTTTGTCCATTACTAAAAAATTTTAGTTAAAAAAAGTTGGATAAAGATTATATTCATACAAAATATATAAAAGTCTGGTTTTCCAAATCCAATCCTATAAGCTGGTTTGAAAAATTAAAATTAAAATCTAATCCAAAAATTAAAATTTGGATTTTTTTTTTGTCCCTTCTTTGTAAGATTTATTGCTGAATGAAAATGTGACATTTGATTTTATTTAGTTAGAGACTTTATATATTGATTTAGAGGTTTGGATTTTCAAACCAATGGAGCCTACTAGTGTTGCCTCCATTGATGTTATGACATATAGTGGTGAAAACTCATATGTGTTTGTCACATATTACAAATTTTAAAAAAAGTAATACAGGTGGAGAGAATTCGAGAAGTTATTATTTTATTGTCTTAATCAATTAATGGATTAGTTATTACTACGAAGATTTATATAAAATTTTTTGCTAATATGAATATTTATATCTTTTATCAAAATCATGATAAAATCTAACATTATTCAATAAATTTTTTTTTATTAAAAGATTAAATAAATGTATTTGCTGAAAGCAAAATTTTATATTTGATCCATATGAGAATTTATAATACTTAATATTATTATTAATGAATTATATATATTTTTTAAAAAATACAATAATAGTAGCAAATGGTTCTTTTTTCTTCTCTAGAAAATTATTAAACCAAATAATAGGTAATTAATCACTTCCAATTTCAATTTATCAATTCTTTAATTGCAATAAATTTCATTTTATACCTTAATTATCTGAGAAATTTCATTATTTAGTTACAATTTAAAGAACCATTTTTTATCATAAATCTTTCTACATTGTTAATTAATTGAATCAATTAATTATTCAATCTTGTAAATACAAATTAAGCATCTCTCCAATAACTCTAAACACAAAAGGTCAAAATAATTATGACTTTTAACATCATATCTGTTAAATTAATTGAATTAATAGTTGAATCATCCAATGACTTTTAACATCATATCTGTTAAATTAATTGAATTAATAGTTGAATCATCCACAACAAAGCTATGGTATATATTAGTGGAATTTTATTTTAAAAAATGTCATTTTTTTAAAAATGACATTTTTATATTTTCTCTGAAAAAATTGACTTTTCTTTTATCTTCTCGCATGGTAAGTTCCCTTCATCCTAAACATTACAAAATAATTTGTCAACAATATATATAATTGTATTTTGAACAAACACTAAAAGCATATTTGAATGAGGGATAAACAATTAGGGTTTAGGGTTTTAACTCTAATCTCTGTTTACAGACGAGATGAAAGAAATATTGAAAGAAGGAAAATAACGATAGATTATCAATTTTGTTTCAATGGTTATTTTCTATTCCGTGTTTGGATCGTTTGGATAGAATAAAGGACAGAAAATAAATTTATTTTCTTTTATTTGGAAATGACAAAGTTTTAGAAAAAAAAATATTTATATTAAAAATTGCCAATTTTATTCTCATTTAAATAGCAGGGTATTTAAGAAGGGTAAAAGTTAGTTAATTGATTTGGATAATTTAATAAAAATAAGTGAGATTCTCATTTTTCTTCATTATTTTCTCTTCAAATTGGTGAAATTTAAAATACGTGGATCTGAGTGAAAATAAGTGAAATTAATATTTTCCTCCTCTTTTCTAAATAAGGGAAAATACCTTTAACTAGATAATTTACATAGTCATTTTCCTCCTTAAAAAAACAGTCTCATCCAAACAAGGGGTAAGTTAATAAGGTTGTATAATTCAAAAATTAGAATAGTTTTTTAATATTAAGGAGTATTTAACTTAAGAACATTAAAAATTGAAATTTATAATTATAATTATTGCATGAGCCTTTTGACAGATAGCCACTAATTAGTAGCTACCAAATGTTGACTATAGTCAAAGGCGGAGTTCCATAAGGACGGACCTAAGCGTGGTATTTAAACAAAATTATATTTTGATCCTTAAAAATATAAAACACTATATTTAACCCCTCTGAACTTTTAAAACATTTTATTTGACTCCTTAAAAAAATTGTCGTAACTATCATCATGGAACCAAATAGACACTAAATAACCTCATTATCCTAGTTGATTTATCACATGATTAACTAATTTTAAAATTTTAGTTTTATGAATGGCAAAGAAAAATATAAACACGTGGATGCTTATTCTAAATGTAAGATTATATTTTGTATGATTGTTCATTATATACATATTTTCAGTTAGTATTTAAAATTAATGTATGTCCCTGAAAATGGGAGATAAGAAAAAGGCAAAAGCTGCAAAAGCTGGAACATTATTAGGGAAAAGAGCATGATCCCAACAATCGCGTACCAAGCCCCATTGCCCCATTTCATCCCCCACATCTCCAATTCTGTCTCATATCCTCAATCTCTCTCGCCCTCTATACTGCCTTCTTCTCCCCAAAACCCCTTGCGCTCCGTTTCCCCACTCCAAAACGGAACAACCCACAACCCGAAACCAGACTCGATACCGGACCCACTAACATCGCCCACATCCTTATGGGAATAGGCGGATCAGCAGCCACATGGAACGATCGCGTCCGATACAGCTCTCTCTGGTGGGACACAAAGAAAACGCGAGGCTTCGTTTGGCTAGACAAAATGCCGAAAAACAAGAACAACAGAAAATCCGAAATATCGGAACCACCGTACAGGCTTTCGTCTCCAGACTGGACCCGGTTCAGATTCTCCAGCTCGAGATCAGCGGTCAGGATCGCTAGAATAATAAGCGATAGCTTTAAATCGAGGCTGCCAAATGTGAGGTGGTTCGTGATGGGAGATGATGGTACAGTGTATTTCACTGATAACTTAGTTTCGGTGTTAGCGAAATATGATCATAATCGGATGTGGTATATCGGAGGGAATTCTGAGAGTGTAGAGCAAGATTTGATGCACGCGTACGATATGGCTTTTGGCGGTGGAGGATTTGCGATCAGTTATCCACTGGCGGAGAAATTAGTCAACATATTAGACGGTTGTCTTGATCGGTACTATTATTTCTACGGTTCTGATCAAAGGATCTGGCGTGTATAAGTGAAATCGGCGTGCCGCTTATAAAGTGAAATCGGCTTGTCCGCTTACTTATTTCTACGGTTCTGATCAAAGGATCTGGCGTGTATAAGTGAAATCGGCGTGCCGCTTACTTTAGAGCGCGGATTCCACCAGGTACGTGTGTAGGTTATTTGTACAGTTGGCTTTGTTTGGAGTTTTCTTTTTCACACGTGGCAGATAGGTCAGTCAACAGAGTTTGCCTCTCGCCTGACCGTGTTTGACGGTTATGTGAGTTGTGGCCACGTGTAACGTTACACTATTTGGTAAAGACAAAAAATTTAGAAAATTAATAAATTTCCTTATTTAGGAAATTATTAAATTTAATATCATTGGATTCCTGAATAATTAAGAAAGATAAAATTGACAGAATGTCGGGATTATATTTAATATTATTGGATTCTTAAAAAATCATTTCTTTTAAGTTAGTTTAAGACTTAATTAATTTTGCAGGACTGCTCATAATAATGAAGTTCACTTAAAAAATCTGCATAACTTAAAAGCTGTGCACTATGTATTTCAAGATGCAATAAAATTAATCAATGTGGTGAATTTTTTTGTTGAAACTATTTATGCAATTGTTTATTTTCCATCAAAAATAATCTTTATTTTAAATGTTGATGTTCATATGACTAACGCACTTCTATCTCTGTATTGATAAACTTATTATAATTTGAAAATAATGTCTTGTTCTATGATAAATATGAAACTATAAAGTGAACGTTAGATTTAGATCTTACTATTGTCAGTTTCTTAGCATTTATATATGTAATACTATAATTTCTAATGACTCTTAGTGAACAAAATAGCTTAGAATCAATGTTCTCCTTGTTAAAAATTCAGATGAGTCGATATCAGTAGATGTAGAAATAGTTTTAAAATTCTTTGATTTTAAAATTCTTTGATCTTTGTCCTAAGCCCCGTTAAAAATTAACCTGCATTCTTTCAAATTTATGAAAGCTCAGCTGACATACAAATTCTCTTCTTACAATTTAAAAATGAAAATCAATATGAAATTAACTTGTATGTACAGTATAAATGTTGAAGAAAGAGAAATGCAAGTGGAGATGCACTTAATTAACAGTCTCTCTTTTTCCAGTCATCCTTGGAATAAGATAACCTATATTAGCTTATTTGTTTTTTAAAGGGAAGATAATGTACCTTACACACAAACATACATTTAACTTTTGTGACCATGTCTCTTGTCTTTTGCACCACAGGAAATATATAAGTTGGCCTCTCTGTGGGTCTGGAAAATTTCTATTTCATATATTTACTAATTCATAACTAAATTTTGATAAATCTAAAGACAATTATGGGCTCGCTCAGCAAAATTAGTTGTTTTGATAGCTGTTAGTTATTTTGGTAACGCTTAACTGTTAGCTTTTTAAATAGTTTTTCATATACAAAACGCTAAAAGCTAAATATTATACGGATTAACTTTTTATAAAATATTATCTTAATCTCTAAAAGTTAGTTCAAATGCTATTGGCAAACGCAACCTATATTTATAATTTTAATAACGATTTTTAAAAACGATTTAAAAAAAAGATTTATATTCCACTGTAAAAGGTTTGCCAACTTTTTTTTTTTTTTTTTTTTTTTTGCATTTTGTGGATAACGAACGGAGCGTGAGAATACACAATTTTTTTTTTTTTTTTTTTTTTTTTTTTTGTGAATAACGAAAACGGAGCGTGAAATACACATTGGAAATCCTTTCTTCCAATAGCTTAAAATCCCAAAATTCCAAAATATATTTGTTTGTTTATTATAGCTTAATTAAGTCAAGATTGGTTATATTAATAATTGGAAAGACCTAATCAAATAAAAGAAGCAACAGTGCATCATCAAAACCATTGACTAGACAAGACTATTCCTTCATTAAAAATACAACTAGGGTTGTCTTCATGCATTCATGGATTCTCGCTGCAATCAACTTGTGGAAGAAGCAATTTAAATAAATTAAACATTATGTCTTGATTCCAAACGAACAAAGAGATGGCTTAAATAGATTTTTTTAACAAAAAATAAAAAAAAAACATGACTATTATAAATCTATAATTGAATTATTTATATTTCTTAAAAAATTTGTAAAAATTTCGGCTAATTATATATCTGATTAATTTATAGTATGATTTTTCTTAATCTGAAATTTATAGCATGGTTAATTCATAAATCAATTAGTTTATCAGTATATGCGTAGACACATAATTAGTTATTATTTGAAATTGTAGAATATAAAATATAATTACAGAATATAATATGCATTATCCATGAAGTATTGAAGTTACACAGTATTTGAAGTTCAAAAAAATAACAGAAAATTGATGTCTATTAATTAGTATTTGGTAGGCCTCCGATAAGACAATTCCAAGCCCAACCTAACTCTCAAAGGCTAAGCCAATGTGGCCCAAAAACTTAACCATCACGAACCCATACCAATCGCCCAAAGAATTGCCGACTTCAGCGGGTTACACCTGTCCTTTGGTTTTTCCTTTCTCGGACTAAAATCCCATCATATTTTAGAAAATGATTTTTTTAAAAAAATATTGTTATATATCCATTTGAATTCAATAAATATTAAAAATTAAAAAATATTGGGATCCCTAAAAATATTAAAATATTCAATTTTTACTCCACTAAAATCCCATTATATTTAGAAAATGATTTTTTTAAAAAAATATTTGTTTATATATCCATTTGAATTCAATAAATATTAAAAATTAAAAATATTGATCCCTAAAATATTAAAATATTTCAATTTTTACTCCCTTAAAATTTGAAAATTTAGCTTTAGTGAAATCATCTTTTTTTTTCTTTTTTGTAATGAGTTTAATTCTACGACTATAAGTGAAAATTCTAAATGAATATTTCAATGTCTTTTTTTGTTATTTTAAATTTAATTGTCAATCAAACAGATATATTTATCAAAACACTTTTGCTTTTAATTGTTACTTAGCTAAAAGCTAACAACAGCTACTAAAACAGTTAACAACTATTAATATTGAGGTAAGAAGACTTATATTACATTTGCGTAACCGTAATGAAAATGTAGCATAATGGTTAACTTATCAAAGAATTTAGAGGCAAAGAAAGACTTGCATAAGTCTTGGGATAGTGACCGAATTTGACACAACACTTAATCAAGTCGTTCTCAGGCTTAACTATTCACTTGTTGATTGACTTTTTAATTAGAGGGTTATAAGCGAAACGCAAATAAATTTCATCCTTTGCCCAAAGATAAAGATCGATACTCTAATAATATCTCTACATGGTATGTACTGCAGGGAAAAATTTACTTAGACCCTGTTCATGTTTTCGCCTATAAACTAAACTAATGAAATTTAGTATTCTTATTGAAATGAAAGTATAGTGTAATCTAATTTACACCTTAGTCTAATCTACACGTCACGTGTTAGACAAAGATTCTATCTATGAATTTCTCAATTAGTAGACCTTAACGATAGTTGAAGGAAATTTGGATCGTGAAAAATGAGGCAGGAAGACTTGTATAAGTTATTGGCTGGACTTTAAGATTAAAATTGCTTAATTGGAATGCAAACATAGCATAATGGATAACTTATCAAAGAATTGTGGAGCAAGTAAAGACTTGCATAAGTCTTCAAAGAGTGACTGATTTTGACATAATGTTTCAATTTAGTATTCTGATTTTGATTGTCTTTTTTTTTCCTTTATAGAGAAGAAGAGGAAACTTCATTAATGAATAGAATGAGAAATAAAAAGAGATTCAACATGAGAAGAGCATCGACATGAGAAGAAATCTCAAACCAAATATGGAAACCAACATAAAAACAAGATACTATTGCTAAAGCATGAGCAGCTTTATTCACTGATCTCCTAACCTAATCAATAGTAACATGCCCACTGTTGTTGCATAACTCAAACACAATCTCTACAACAAGATTTGATCGTCTTTTAATCAGAGAGTTACAGTGATTTGCAAAATAAACCTTTGCATGTAATAAGCATATGAAATCCTTATCAATATAATTCTCAATAAAGTACTAATACTAATAAATATAAATGGTTTAACAAATAACAAAAACTTAATAATTTAATAAATAATACTTTTGTCCATTGAATTATTTTCCTGATATATTCTTATATAATAATTATTGAGATAACTATAAGAGAATGATGACCAAATATATATATATATATATTTACTTATAATGTGTGCACTTAGTTTTTAATTTATGTTAGTTTTGTTCACGAAATTTAAGATTAAACTTAAACTCACATAATGTTTAAGATATATAATGTTAAAAGAAATTGAGGAAATATGATCCGTGAATATTGAGGTAGGAAGACTTATATTACATTTGCGTAACCATAACGAAAACGTAGCATAATGGTTAACTGATCAAAGAATTTAGAGGCAAAAAAAGACTTGCATAAGTCTTCGAATAGTGACTTAATTTGACACAACACTTTAATCTAGTCGTTCTCAGGCTTAACTATTCACTTGTTGATTGACTTTTTTAATTAGAGGGTTATAAGTGGTAAGCAAATAAATTTCATCCTTTGCCCAAAGGTAAGGATCGATGCTCTAATAATATCCCTATGTGGTATATGGTGCAGGGAAAAACTTACTTAGACACTGTTATGTTCCTACCTATAAACTAAACTAATGAAATTTAATATTTTTATTGAAATGAGAATATTTCTTATCATACATTTGGAAAAAAAAAAAGTCAAAACACTTTTTAAAAAATCTCTAATTTCATTTAATTGGTCTACAAATGAGGTCATGCACCGAATCTAGACAAATTTTTTTCATATTGTGCATGCATGCAAGAATTGAAAAGTTCTTGCCTTCTTGGATGTACATTTATTTTATTTTGGTTTTAATTATGAGGTGTTCAAAAATACGAAAAATATCAGTCTAGCTTATTATTTTAAATTCCATTTTTTTTTTTGAAAACCTTGAGGATTCTTCAAAAAGAAAAATGAAAAACCTTGAGAAAAAGATTGATAGTGCAGAAACAGAAACCAATGTAATTTCTAAAAGATAAAATTTAAATTTCTTAATTATTCATCATGATTATAAAATTTAAATTTCTTAATTATTCATCATTAATCATGAGATTTCAACTCCACCTATCTATATAATCCACTTTTATTAAAAATAATTAGAGTATCTTAAAATTTCTAATTATTCATCATGTTATAAAAATTTAAAATTTCTTAATTATTCATCCATTAATCATTGGTTTCAACTTCCACCCTATCGTATTATTAATCCACGTTTATTAAAAATAATTAGAGTAAATGTATTCCTAATTATTAAAAGAAATTATAAAACAAAAGTTATAGTTGTAATTTCATAATAACAAAAAAAAAAAGAGAATTAAAATTAATATAGTGCTCTTGACTAAGTGGTTAGAAATAAAGTTAATAAGAGCGAATGTTTTTTAAAATAATTAAAAACAAAAAAAAGGACAGAGAGAGAACTCAATTATCATGATCTCAAAACCATCAATATGGGAATCATGTGGCTATAAATAGAGAGTGATATATGCTGAAAATTTATTGATCATAATTTTAAATTTGGCAAACACAAAAAATCGAGTTTTGCGTTGGCTTACTGTGCATTTTCAATTTTCCTTCTGCCTCCTTTCTATTTCATCCTTCCTTTTCAATCTCTTTTCTTTCACTTTCTTCAAACATTACAAATTCCCCTTTCCCAAATGTAGTTTGCCAGCTTGATCAAAGCAATGCCTTGCTCCAATTCAAAAACTCCTTCACCATTAGGAGGAGTTTTCCTTCTTTTATTAAATCTTATCCCAAGACAGATTCATGGAAAGAGGGCACAGATTGTTGCTTCTTTTGGGATGGTGTCAGATGTGACTTTAATATTGGCTATGTGATTGGGCTTAACCTTTCTTACAGTATGCTTTACGGTAACTTCCATTCTAATAATTCTCTTTCCGCTCTTCATCATCTTCAAAAACTAGATCTCTCTTACAATAATTTCAGAGGCTCCATAATTCCATCTCAAATCGGTCAGCTATCCAATTTGGTTTCTCTTGATCTTTCCTGGAACTTTTGTTTGACATTAGAAACAACTGCTAGTTTTGTAGATCTCTCTTACAATAATTTCAGAGGCTCCATAATTCCATCTCAAATCGGTCAGCTATCCAATTTGGTTTCTCTTGATCTTTCCTGGAACTTTTGTTTGACATTAGAAACAACTGCTAGTTTTGACAAGCTTATTCGAAACTTAACCAAGTTGCAAGAATTGGACCTGAGCGGTGCAGACTTGTCTTTGGTTTCTCTTGATTCCTTTATCAATTTATCTACTTCTTTGTCATCCCTCAGACTCTCATCTTCTGGATTGAGAGGGAAATTTCCAAACAGTATAATTCAGCTTCCGCATCTCAAAGTCTTAGACTTGGCGTACAATGAAGGCCTCAATGGCTCTTTTCCAACGTCAAATTGGAGTCTTTCACTCTACCATTTGTCTCTTTCTGGGATTGAAATTCCAGTATATTTAGAAAATGAATTTTTCAAAAATCTAAATTTGTTGGAATCACTGAAACTCGCAAGTTGCAATTTCGTTGGGTCTAATCTTGCATTGTTTGGTAATTTATAAAATCTTGCATTGTTTGGGGGGTTAAAATTTTTTATTAAAATAAATTTTTTTTATTTGCCCCGCGAGTAGAAGATAAACTCACTGAGTGGACCTAGTCGATTTTAATAATCTTCCTTGGTCAAATTCCATTAGAAAGTGCGGTCAAACTATCTAATCAAATTCCATTAGAAATCGGTCAACTATCTAATTTGATTTCTCTTGATCTTTTTAGGAACAGTCTTTTAATACAAACAACTACTAGCTTTAACAAGCTTGTTCGAAACTTTACCAAGTTGCAAGAGTTGAACTTGGGGGGTACAAACCTCTCTTTGGTTTCACCCAATTCATTTATCAATTTATCTTCTTCTTTGTCATCTCTCAAACTTTCATTTTCTGGATTAAGAGGAAAATTTCCAAATAATATAATTCAGCTTCCAAACCTTAAAATCCTTGATTTATCAGGGAATGAAGGTCTCACTAGCTTCACTATTATATCAAATTGGAGTATCTCACTCAGCCACTTGTCACTTTCTTTGACTAAAATTCTGATTTATTTAGAAAATGAATTCTTCAAGAATCTGAAGTTGTTGCAAATATTGAGACTCAATAGTTGCAATTTTATTGGGTCTAATCTTGAAGTGTTTGGTAATTTATCCAAACTTATTGTATTGGAACTTGGATATAATAATTTCACTGGTCAAATTCCATCCTCAATTGGAAACTGTAACCAACTCCAACAGTTGTCCCTTTCATACAATAATTTTAGTGGCCCAATCAATTCCTCCCTCTTTTTTGCAAAACCTTAGCCAGCTCTTCTATTGTATATATGGAAAAGCAACAATATCAAGGGTCCAATTCCATCTTTTCATTCGAAACTGTAACCAACTCCAAGATTTTGGACCTTTCATACAATAATTTTTAGTTGGCCCAATTTCCTCCCTCAATTTGGGGCAAACCTTTAGCCAGCCTCTCCTATTTTACATTATGGGAAGCAACAATATCAATGGTCCAATTTCCAATCTTTCATTGGAAACTTGTAACCCAATCCAAGATTTTGGAAACTGTAACCAACTCCAAGATTTGGACCTTTCACACAATAATTTTAGTGGCCCAATTCCTCCCTCATTTGCAAAGCTTAGCCAGCTCTCATATTTAGGTATGAAAAGCAACAATATCAATGGTCCAATTCCTTCAGATATTTTCAGGCTCTCTAGCCTAGAGCACTTGATTTTGTCTAACAACTTGCTCACTGGTCAAGTATGTCAATTCAAATATAATAATACATTAAAATATGTTGATCTGAGCCATAACAAGTTGTCTGGCACAGTTCCAAGCTCAATTTTCAATCAGGTGGAGTTGACGGTTCTCATTCTTTCATCAAATGAGAAATTGGGGACAGGAGAAATTTCCTTCTTGCAGTTTGTTGAGTTTTTAAAATCACTCCAAATCCTTGACCGTGTCGAAGTAAAACAATTTCCACGTGGTCCCATTTCCACATGTTTTGGGAAAACTTCAGCCAGTAGCCTTTCAGTTATTTACAATTGGGTATTGAACAACTTTCAGTATTACATCTGGGTATGAACAACTTTAATGGAGTTCTCCCTCAAGTATTTTCAGAAGGCAGTAACGTGAGATATTTGAATTTCAATGGCAACCAACTGCAAGGGAAAATCCCAACGTCCATTTCCAATTGCAAAGATTTGGAAATTTTAGACATGGGCAATAATGAGATAGAGGACACATTCCCTTCTTTTCTACAAACTCTTCAAAAGTTGCAGATTCTACAGCTACGATCCAATAGACTTCATGGTTTAGTAAAAAGCCACTCCATTGCCAACTATCTATTTCCCAAGCTACAGATTTTGGACCTCTCCAACAACAATTTCAGCGGACCTTTGCCTTCATATTATTTCAATAATTTCGATGCGATGATCAATGTTGATCAGAATATGACATACATGGGAGCACCAAGCCTCTCCTATTATGATTATTCTGTGAGCTTGACATTGAAAGGATTGGAAATTGAGTTGGTGAAAATCCAAACTCTTTTAACAACCATCAATTTGTCAGGTAATAACTTCACAGGAAAATCACAGGAAAAAATTCCCAAGTACGTTGGAAATCTTTAAAAGTTACGTTAAGCAGCTGCCAACATTTGTCTCATAACTTAAGCAGCTCAACATGTCTCATAATCATCTCACAGGCAATATTGAACCATCAATAGGAAATTTGACCAATCTGGAAACTTTAGACCTCTCTTCAAATAATCTTACTAGAAGGATTCCGATCCAATTGGCAACTTTGACATCCCTCGAAGTATTTCGTGTTTCGCATAATCAACTTGAAGGACCCATACCTACAGGCCCTCAGTTCAACACATTTGATAATAGCTCGTATGAAGGAAACACAAGACTCTGTGGATTTCCACTGCAAAAGGCTTGTAATTTTGGTGAAAGGCAACAAGTCACGACCCCATCAGGCGACGAAGATTCAAACTCTGATGAAAATGGATTTGGATGGAAATCTGTTTTCACGGGATATGCATTTGGAGCAGTGTTTGGTCTCACAATGGGATACCTTGTGTTCAGAACAAGAAAACCTGCTTGGTTGGTGAAGCTGATTGAAGGTGAAGGACATCCAAGGCTGAAAAGAAGTGTCAACAACACCTGCATATCTTACCAAAGAAGAAGAAGAAGAAATTAGTGAATGGAATTTCTTTCTGAAGGTAAGTTTTAACATCTATCTTCAGATCTAATTAACAATATTTTTATTTCATGAAGAACTTTGGAATTTGTTAGGTAAATCAAATGATGAATAAGCAGATGGTGCATTTGCATGCGAAGTAGAAAGAAGAGATCTCTTCTGTTGCACCAGAATCAAATGCGCTACTTGGAACATCTACAACAAAGCTCTTTTCAATTTTTTAAGCTATAATTTCCTCTCTCTGGAAACATCTACAAACCCAAATCTCCTTTTCAATTTTTTAAGCTTAATTTTCTCTCTTTTTCTTTTCTTTTTTTTTTTTTTGTTGTTTTTTCTCTTCTTTTTTCCTTGTGTCTGTGTCTATTATATTGTAAAATATTTTAAAGTCAGGGACTTGATTTCGTCATTCTGGAAATTTAAAATTTCAAATTAAAACTAACTGTAACCTACGTTATGTTTAGCTTTATATTAATTGAAAATTGTAACAAAAGTGAAAAACTAAACTTTTTCCTCTTTTTTTTTTTTTTTTTTTTTTTTTTTGAAATTCTCACAAAACAAATGTTGGACTCGTAACTTAACTAGGTTGCTTCTATTGATTTGCTACTATTTTTATGCTATTCCAAAGAAATTGCCAATGCACGGAAATTAAATTGTCTCCATTTTATAGCAAAGACACAATTTTAGAATTAGAATTTAACTATATATATCGATTTTATTTATTATTAGTATAAAAACATATGGGGGATATGGACGGGGGGAAATAATGCGATTATCTATTATCACCCTTAATAAAATTTAAAATGTTTAAAAATATTCTTAAATTGGTGGCCAATTTAAAAATTACAGTTTTATTAGTGACTTGGATATATTTATTTTTTTTAATTAAATATATATGATAAATTAAGACATGAAATTTTATATTTTATTTTTTGATCTTTATATTTTATTTTGATTCATTTTGATATAATTTAAAGTATTTTCCTTTAGGAGAGAGATAAACATAGAAAAAATGTATTTTTTTTATTGATACTTCTTTTTCTTTATGTTTGTATGATTTGATTTTGATATATTTTTTTAAAATTTAAAATTTTCAATTAGAAATAAGTTTTTCAATATAAATTTTTGAAAATTATATACATATAAATATTCTGTTATTTAATTTTTTTTTAGGTTCTTTCTATGGAAAAAATAATAAATGATAAAGTGGTGTATATGAGAATTTAATTAATATTCTCCTTCACTTTCTTCTTTCTTATAGATGGATTATCTTAAGATATAAAATAGTTACCTAATATTTTCTTTATTATTATTAAAAAAGGAATTATGTTGTATTTTTCTTTTATAATTACTCTTTTCTTTTATAATACTCTTAGAAATAATTGGATTATGGCAATAAAGGTAAAAAAATCTTATACAATAATAAGAATAATAAATATTTAATTGATTTAATTGTTTATGTGAAATTTGATATTCCTTTTAATCGTCCCTTGAATATATTTGTGTGAAATATATATACACGTCTAAACCATTTATCTCATATCGGATAACTAAGAATAGAGAGAGAACGAGAATGGTAAGTAGAAAAGAATTCTACAATATACTTTGTCAATTTTGCACTTAGTTGGAGTTATTCAATATGTTCAAAAATATTATTATTACATTAATTAATAATAAAATTATATTAATTATGGTCTTAAGATTTCTTCAACAAAGAGAAACTTATA